ACAATATTAACAATTCACAGTTAGGTTTCTACACCGTTTTTGACGAAATGCACTGTGAATCACTAATCGTGCACTGTTTGCACACAAAACCGTAAAACTTATAAACTTAACACTTTTGGTCTAAACATGACTTGTTTGGCATATATTAGATTTTCTTATACTTATCACATCATTTATTCGTTTCTGGACTCTATCGGTTGCTTAAATAGCGGTATTAAATACTCGGCAGAAAACACAATTCACGAAAATTTCGCAAAAAGTGCCAGACTATACAAATTTTTGTTCTTAACTTATATTTAGCATCAAAATTGCCAAATTAGGTCTCTAACCTCATTTTGCTCATTTTCAAGCTCTACCAGTTACTACACAACAATGCACAATACCCAGCAGAAGACACTGTTCATGACCTAGTCATGATTACAGTCAAAATACTCGAAATCACATTCTGAATCTAATTATGACATTTAAATACTTAAATTTATCTCCAAATTAAGATTTGCCAGTTGGGGTCATTATAGAGACAAAACTGAGCAGCTCTGTCGTGGAACATTTTTTTTTGTGAAAAGTACCTGATGAACAGTGTGTGCTGTGAACAATACCGCGATAGAAAAAGAGTCAAACAAAGATCCTCTCGGTCCAAAAGGTCCCCGAAAAAATAAATAAATAAATTCCGGTGGCGGCTTAATGGCAATGAAAGGCAAACAAATAGGATCTCGTTTGAAGGCGGCAGTCGCGGAAGCAGAGCCCTCAGAATCGAGAGCTCTGATACCAAGTTGAAAAAGAGATAATCTTATTGATAAAATTGTGTATTACATATGTACAATTGCTCTTTATTTAAAGATACTAAATAAACTAATGGGCTAAGTCCAAAGAAGATTTTAGAATGGAAACAAATAAATAATAAATAAATAAAATTATTTACAACGAATATAAATAAAATAAATTGTGTAATTTTTCATAATTAAAAAAAATATGTTGAAATTGACTCTTTAATTGTGCTAAAGTGTAAAACAAACACTTATATAAGTTGTTCGCAAAGTTCTGAGCATTTATAAATGAGAAAAGTGTGTATCATTTTAAAGGATGTAAAGTTGTGTCATTTTAAGTGAGTAAAAGAGATAGATAAAGGAAGAGAAAGAGTGGACAAAAAAATATAAAGATGTGGGTTCCACCTCTTTATGAGAGTGAAATGACACAAGTTGTGACATTTAAAAGGACAAACATTTTTCCCTAAATAAATATTGTTAGATAATATTTAGAGAGGTTTCTGCATGTCTCTTCTCGGAGAGATGTTAGCCATTTTATTTTTAAACACGCAGAAAAATAGTGATAAAGAAAATTATTCATTAATAATTTAGTTTTGAACTTTATGATCCTGTTATTTTCTTTTCTTTTATTTTTCAAATTTTGTTCTTTAAGCGAAAGCAATATTTAAAAATAAGATGAATCAATAAGATAGTTGGAGAAGAGAATAGTAATTCATAGTTTAACTGGTTGGACATATTGAACCAGTGATTACACTGCATGACATAATAAACATTTTTTCCATAAATTATATATATAATTTTTTATAATTAATTATATTCACAATCTTTTTATGTACACAATTTTTACATTCAGAGTGAATCACAATTTTATATTTAATTTTTTATATAATATCACTTTAAAGGATAGATAGAGTCTTCTAATCTGATTCGCAATCATGCTGAAGTTCTGACTAGCCAGCGCTTGAATAAACTTTGTTGCCGGAGAGAGGATTCTTTAGAATATTGTTTCTAGGCGGGCCCGTGGAGAAGCTGGAGAAAGTTATAGTGCAAGTTTCTGCCACAATTGCGCTGCAAACGGTTCCATATTTGATTATGTATCACCAAATAATCCATGTACCAAGAATCTACAATTTCTTCCTTGTTTTAAAAACGGATGTGCATGCTGCAGCTCATGGTCGATTTGAAGAGATTACATACCAAGTTGAAGGGTCTGCAAATAGTGCTACAGAAGGCACACCAGCTGAATCACGCCAATCCACAAGCATTCATTATACCGATATATGGGCTCAGAGAGAAGAACCGGAGCTATGTGGTGAAGGGTTAAGAGACATTCGCTTTTATCAAACGACGGTAGTTTAGTTGGCGCATGTGAGTTGAGTAGCAGCTAGAGGTAAGAACATGTGTTCGATCCAGTACCATCTTTGGGAGGGGTTCAAAATCTTAATACTGAACTCGCCTCGAACAGAATTGTCTCCCGTGAAAAATACACGTGGTTTATTCAAAAAAAAAAAAAAAAACATACACCGTAACCAAGCTCGTGATGCATCAAACCTATCAACCGTCAAAGATGAAGGAAAAACCAATAAAGTGGATGACCAAAGTGGTTAATTCCATACTAGAAAGTCTCCTTCTAGGACTGTATCAGATTGTGTTTTCTTGAACTACGAGAATGAATTAGGCAAAAACTAAGATGGCTCAAAGCAAAATGCCAAATGCAGTTAAGAGAGCTTAGAGACCATCAACTAGGAGGTAAACCAAAATTAACAAGCATATCTCTTGACTTTTTATAAGTATTTGGCAAAGCTTGTACAACTTTGGAATTCGGACTAGGGGTGTTCGCGGTGGATTGGATCGGTTTTGAAAGCAAAAATCATCCGATCCAATCCCTTCGGTTTGATCATATAATCATCCATTCGGTTTGGATTTTTTTTCAAATCCGATCCAATTTTTTTCGATTTGGATTGGATCGGTTTTCGGTTTTTTGAAAATCCTAAAATTTATTTCATGATTATTGTGCAAATAACATCTTTTGTATATATTGTCTTTCTAAATTATTATTTTCTGAAATACAAAAACATTAGTAAACTATAATATAGTTTTTTTTTGGGACAATGAGATATGAAGCTCTACTAAGATAAAATTTTGTCGATTAGAAGTGATTAGATTTTTTATTGGGTTTAGTTAATGAGTCTTGGTTTAAAAATTTTTAGGTTATGATTAGAGAAAGACCCAAGTAGGTATAGAGAAATTAATATATTGGATCAGTTTGGATTTGATCGGTTTTCATCAACCCATCCAAAAACCGATCCAATCCAATTAAAAATTGCGATTTTTTCTCAGTTTTCGGTTTTTCAGTTTTCGATTTATTCGGTTTTCAGTTTTTCGGTTCGGTCACCGCGATTTGAATCGGTTGATGAACACCCCTACTTCAGACGACCTTAGGACTTATGCGTGGAGCATTTTTGTTTATCTTACAATCATAGAAGTAATCATAAGTGCTGCCAATTTATTTTTATTAGTAAAGCTTATATCCTACTAAAACTGATGTTCAATTTGTATTGAGTAAATATCTTTTTTGGTTCTCAACAAAATTTACGACGCCTTAGTCCCTAGTAAATAAAAAGGTCCATCGTGGTCCCTAAGAAATTCAAAATGGACCCATTTAGTTGAAATTTTGGTCCTTCACAAATTCAAAAAAGACCCATATTAGTCCCTAAAGGGACTAAAATGGGTCCATTTTGAATTTCTTAGGGACCACGATGGGCCTTTTTATTTGCTAGGGACTAAAACGGGTGTTGTGAAATTTACTGAGTACAAAAAAAGGTATTTACTCATTTTTATTCATTGAAACCCACATAAAAATTAATTGATAATAAAAAAATGTGTTACGAAAAGTATGCTAAAGAAAATAATGTTAACATTTCTTTTTCTGTTACATTAGAAGAATTGAGAAGAAGAAAAATGAGAAAAAAAATGAAAATTAATTCTCATCTAACAGTTTAAAAATAAATACGAGGTAAACAAGGGATCAGTTCCTTCTAAACAAGCAAAATTTATTTCCTTCCCTTTCCATCTCATAATTTCTTTTCATATCTTATTTTATTAATTAAATAAATCAAAACACAGTAAGAAAAAATAAATAAGAAAATCATATTAGATATCAATTATTGGTTGAATAAATAAGGATAACATCTGATAAACAAGTACTCATATTTTAGTATGTTAAGCTACACATGTGATAAAATAAAAAAACTATAACAACAATCGCATTTACAAAAATTGAAATACTAAATTCAAAAAATAAAAAAATATTAAAAACAAAAATAAAGTTATGAGATTTTGGAGTTGAATACCAAAATAGATATCACAAAGGTAAAATTGAGGATGAAGTGACGAATTTGAATACGCAGTGAAATGATGAAGCTTCAAAAGCATGATGGTTAGCTAAGACAATCAATGAGAATGGGTATGTACAGATCTTAAAAGACTGATATGGGATAAATGTAAACAGAGATTAAAAAAGCGAGATATGAATTAAAACATGTATAGAAGAGAGAGGGAATCTTCATATATTTCGTAAATCCTTTTGATTTTCCAGATATGAATTACCATTTGTTAGTGGTTGGATCAAAATCTAGGGATTGGATGAAGTTATTTTGATTTTATATTTTGTTACAAGCAGGAAGATGATTTTCCAGATTTCGCCAAAAGGAAAATTGATTCCCTGGTGCATATTCTATTATTGTTCCGGTCTTCAAATTTTCATATCAAAATGTTGAAATCTTCAAATTATTGTACTCTAAATCAAAGTCGTGTTTTAAATTTTGTTGAAGAATATATATGTATTAATGCTGTTGAAGATCCATGTCCGAATGAAAGAGAACGTGGATGAGCCTTAGATTTTACATGGGGTTTAAATAGCAAGACGTGTTTTCATCTTCTCACACTATCCTTCTGAATGTTAAGGCTTAAAGGACTGTTGTCTCCAAAAATAGTCAATTCTAACTTTCAAGCTACTCGGGACAACATGGTTGAACAAGAGTATATAGGTCTCCAAGTTTCTTCCATTCACAATATCTTACTAATCAAGTTTCTTCCATTCACAATATCTTTACTAATTTATTCCCGTATACTCTAAAATAAATATAAAAACCAGTCAGTGATACAAATTGGTAAAATCAATTTTGTTCTGTTATTATAATGTTAAATGCTTAGTTGAAATACCTAATGTAGACCAAGAAAGACTCTAAATAAAACAAATAAAAAGGATATAAAATTAGATGGCCGTATAGAAGAATTGATTTTGACAAAATACAATAGCTTCCTTTGATTCATTTAACCGAACCCGGCTAAGGACTTCTTGTTGTTATACTAGATGATGACAACCATTGCACAAGAAGTAGATTCTTTAGCAAATTTTTTTCTCAATGCTTCTTAGTTGCTCTTGGAAATTTCCATCAATTTTAATTATGAGAAGTTTTCTGCATCTTATATGAAAGAAATTAAGGCTTACCGATAACTATACTTCTCTTATGTTCGAGTTCATAAAGCAAGGCAATTGCTGCAGAGTCAAATGAACTCTTCTTGTCAGCTCTAGGATCTCCAGTACACTCAATGATGCATGAATTGGGTATCTGCAAGATGATTTTAGATACAAAACTGTTGAAACCACTTCTTTTGCTTGAGCCTTCACCAAATTCAATTGGAGTTCTGTTGTTGTTTTTGTGGGGGAGGAGAGAAAATAATTAGAATGAACTGAATGAAATAATAATATTTTTCTTAAAACCGTAACAGATTACAATTTGAGAAGACAAGTAATAGAGTATAAAGCTTAGTGTAATGGGATCACCTGGATTTAGTTTCTATGCATCTGAATTTTGGCATTGGCCACTGTAATATCTTACATATTCTAAAAAGTGATGTTCGAGGTCCTCCTTTCTTCAAGTCGATTGATTCAATAACTACAGAGATGTTGTTTAATGTTAGAATATTAGGATTACTATTGTATTAGTAGTCTTATCAGGAGTTCTTGGCTCAGGAGAACAGTTGTTATATGCTTTTGCTTGAAGTAGTTGCATGTCTTGGAAGGCTGTATGCCCGCAGCCCAATGTTTTTTGCCTCACCTCACAGCCTCAAGAGCACAGTTACCCTCACAGGAACAAGACAAAACAGACCTAAACTGATTGGAACAGAGCGAAAATGGCCCTGATCATTTGTTGCCATGATCTTTTGGGATATTGGGTGCTTTCAATTTTCTCACTAGCAAGCATCGGTAAGCGTTAAGAGAATGAAGATGAGATGAAATATAATTTGCACCATACTAGTTGTCTAAAGCCAAATCCTAACATCTTTCTTGTATGTAATCAATTCATATATAAAATTTGGCATGCTTCTGTTTTCCAGACAAATTTGAGGACTTCAAAGTTTTTGCTTTTGAGTTTTTGATTGGGGGTGTGGAGAAAAGAAAAGAAAATTATTAAACATGCAGAAGTTTAATTGCATCTTATCGGAAGATTAGACGTGCATGACAAACTTCATTTCATCCGTGGATTATAATTAAGTACCAAAGCTAATCATGATCAACACAAGTGAATATAAAGAGCAAACCTGTGGGGATGGAACTGATACTGCAGGTTTTATTAGAAAGATTGTTGACTGGGAAAGAATCTTCAGTTGACTCTGCTGGGCAATCACTTTCAGTAATCTTTTGCTTTCCGTTGTTAGGAGAATCTTCATCAGTTAATTGGTTACATATTTTGACTCCTATGTCCAGTGAAGATGAAATGCCAACATCACCGAAATCATGTTTTCTCCTCTTGGAAGTGCATTTGGAGTATAAAATATCCTTCTTCTGTTGCATTTCAAGTATCACAACATTTTCATTTGCAAAAGGATGAGAATAAAGAGCTCAATCTGAAATTGGCATGTTATTATGCTACCCATACATGACTGCACTATTTGCTGCTATCAATTACCACCAAAGGATTGGGTGTTTGTATTCATTAAGAAATCCAATTCATTTAACAATTTGTCAAACGGATTCTTGTATAAAAATTATTATTGATTATAATTTGTTAGGATTATTGTTGTAAATAATAATATTTATTTATTTATTTGTTGTATTGGGCTTAGTCTATTAGGTCATGTAATCTCTTTAAATAGAGAACCCTTTCTACACTTTACATACAATTCAATAATATATTTCATTACCCTTTTTCAAGTTGGTATCAAAGCTTTCGATTCTGAGGGCTCTGCTTTCGCAAATTACCGTCTTTAAAAACCAAACCCTATTCGCCTCTCGCCGCCACAAAGCCGCCGTCGGAAAAAAATTTCCGGGGACCTTTTGGACCGTGAGGACCCCTGTTTCACTCCGTTTTCTTAGATCTATCATTCTACGGAGGTTTCTTTTTCATCAGACGACCAGAACAGCTAAAAAAAAAAAATGCGATACTGTTCATCGCGCACTGTTCACGTGGTGCTGTTCATCGGATACTGTTCACAAAAAAATAAAACATTTCCTGCTTGGTTTTGTCTCTGATCTGCCGTCGTTTGGGTGTACGTTGTGTGTTTTTGGTGCTGTTTCTCACTCTTTCTTATCACTATGGCCGATTTAGAAGATGGTTCGATTATTACGCACTCTCCACATGTCTCTCCATATGTGAATATTCAACAAAGGGAGTTGGATCAACTTAAACCCGCTATTGATAATATGTGTAAGCCATCTGACCGTTCTTTGATCTTGTCTGGTAAGAACACACGTTCTACATCTCTTCTTGCTTCTTGCACTGATTTTAAAACCTCATGGATTTTGGATTCTGGTGCAACTGATCATATGACTTGTCGTACTGAGTTTTTTCTTTCTTATCATCCTATTGTTGGTAGTCATACTATATCCATAGCTGATGGATCCCATAAATCAGTTATTGGTTCTGGTAACATTCAAATTCAACCTTCCTTGTTTCTTAAAAATATTCTTTATGTTCCTCAACTTTCTACTAATCTTATCTCCACTCAAAAACTTACAACTGATTTGAATTGTTCTATCACATTTTTCTCTTCTCATTGTGTTCTTCAGGATCTTACCACGAAGAAGACAATTGGAGTTGCTAATGAGCAGGATGGGTTGTATTATCTCCTTCCAGAACATGCTATAAATGATAGCAAAAATCAGTTATTAATGACACATCATCCTTCTACTGCAGAGTCTATGATTTGGCTCCATCACAAGTGTCTGGGGCATCCACCATTCAATCTATTGAAGTCAATGTTTCCTTCTCTTTTTCTAAATCAGTCAGTTGAGACCTTCCATTGCGATGTTTGTGAATTTCCAAAACACCATCGAGTGTCATTTCCTTCTAGCACTATCAAAAGCAGTGAACCTTTTTCTCTTATCTATTCTGATGTTTGTGGCCCTTCTAAAATGCATAGTGTTTCAGGTGCAAGGTGGTTTATTTCTTTTATTGACGATTATCCTCGGGTAACATGGATATTCTTGATGAAAGACAAGTCTGAAGTACCAGAGATATTTATTCGATTTCATCACATGGTTGAGACTCAGTTTGGTAAGTGTATTAAAAGATTAAGATCTGATAATGGTACTGAGTACGTCAACCAACGCCTGTCGCAATTCATTTCAAATAGAGGTATGATTCATGAGCTCACATGTGTTGATACCCCTCAAGAAAAAATCGTCACCTCCTTGAAGTTACTAGAGCACTACTTCTCCAGACATCTGTTCCTAGTTCTTATTGGGAAGAAGCCGTGTTAGCTGCAACCTTTTTGATCAACCGCTTACCTTCACGGGTCCTTAACAACACCCGTCCTATTCATTCCATGACTTCCTTCTTTCCTTCTGTTCCCATTTTGCAGAGCCTTCCACCAAGAGTGTTTGGATATGTTGCCTTTGTCCATGTTCATAAACAACATCGCAGTAAGTTGGATCCTAGGACTCCTAAGTGTGTCTTCCTTGGTTATGCCCCTGATAAAAAAGGGTACAAGTGTTATCATCCACAAGGTCGAAATTTTTTTGTTTCTATGGATGTCACCTTTCAAGAATCTGAGTCTTATTTCCTGGGTCTTCATCTTCAAGGGGAGAACAGTTCATCAGAAGACTCATCCCCTTCTTTCTTTGAGTCTGGATCGTCCTTGTCTACTCCTACACCTCTTCCTAGTGTGTCTGCTCCTAGTGTGTCAGAACCTTCAAATACACCTAAGATACGAAAGATTTTGACACCTGAATTGGTATATCAGAGGAGGAAACAACCCATACTGTCTCACCAGCAACCTCAATCGTCTGAACCACTGGTAAGTCCTGAATCTCCTGTTTCTGATTCTAATATTATTGCCTCTCATGATTTTCCTATTTCTTCTGATACCTCTGATGACTTACCCATTGCTTCTGCTTCTGATGACTTACCTATTGTCCTAAGAAAAGGAAAAATATCTTGTACTTAATACCTTATCTCCCATTTTGTTTCTTCTACTAATCTTTTTGTGCAGCATAAAAGCTTTGTTTCAGCACTAGATTCTATTTCAATCCCAAAATCAGTACATGAAGCATTGAAAGATGAGAATTGGGTTCAAGCCATGCAAGAGGATATGAATGCGTTGGAGAAAAATAAAACATGGGAGGTTATTGATAGACGTAATAGAAAGAAAGCAGTAGAGTGCAAATGGGTTTATGCCCTAAAGTATAATTCTGATGGCACTCTTGAGAGATATAAGGCTCGGTTAGTCGCCAAAGGTTACAGTCAGACCTATGGCATTGATTATGAAGAAACCTTTGCTCCAGTTGCGAAGATGAATACGGTGAGAGTCTTGTTATCCCTTGCTGCCCATTACAATTGGGATATAAATCAATTTGATGTGAAGAATGCTTTCCATAATGGTGAGTTAGAAGAAGAAGTTTACATGGAAATCCCGCCTGGTTTTGATTCTGTGGACGGAGAAAATAAAGTTTGTAGATTAAGAAAAGCCTTGTATGGATTGAAGCAGTCACCTCGTGCCTGGTTTGGGAGGTTTACTAAGGTTATGATAACCTTAGGATACAAACAGAGTCAAAGAGATCACACTCTTTTCTTTAAGCACTCCCAAGATGGGAAGCTCACTGTGCTCCTTGTATATGTTGATGATATTATTATAACAGGTGATGATTTTGTGGAGAGACATATTCTGCAAACACGACTAGCCTCTGAGTTTGAAGTTAAAGACCTTGGGAAACTGAGATATTTCCTAGGGATAGAGGTAGCTCATTCAAACAAAGGAATTTTTATTAGTCAGAGGAAATATGTTCTTGATCTTCTCAAAGAAGCAGGAAAGCTTGAGTGTAAACCTTCGAATACTCCTATTGAGCAGAATCACAAGATAGGTTATGAAGAGGAGAGTCCTCCAGTTGATAAAGGACAATATCAACGGCTAGTTGGGAAACTGATATATCTGGCTCATACCAGACCAGACCTAGCTTATGCTGTTAGTGTTGCCAGTCAGTTTATGCATGATCCAAAGGAGAAACACATGCAGGCAGTGGAGAAAATTCTTCAGTATCTTAAAGCCACTCCTGGTAAAGGACTATTATTCCGGCGTGATGGCGATCTCTCTTTAGAAGTTTACACCGATGTTGATTATGCTGGATCTGTGACTGACCGTCGTTCTACCACTGGTTATTGTATATTTCTTTGTGGTAACTTAGTGACGTGGAGAAGTAAGAAACAAGATATAGTTTCCAGATCAAGTGCAGAGGCTGAATTTCGAGCTATGGCTCAAGGCATTTGTGAGTTATTATGGCTGAAAATTGTACTTGATGATCTCAAAATAAAATGTGAGGGACCTATGAAGCTGCTATGCGATAACAAGTCCGCTATTTGTATAGCTCATAATCCAGTTCAACATGATCGAACTAAACATATTGATGTCGACCGCCATTTCATCAAAGAGAAACTTGATAGCGGGTTGATTACCACTCCATACATTCCCACTAGGCGTCAATTAGCTGATGTATTGACAAAGGTATAATAGCCCTAACCTAATTAATTAGCAAATTACATGTAATTAAATAATTAAACATGTTTTAGTGAGTAAAATTAAGTGTAAGGCTTAATTAAATGAATTTGAGTCACTTTGGAGTTAAAAAGTGTACTCAGTGAAAATTAAGAGTATAAATGGGTACTGGCGAAAGTGCCCAAAATATAAAAACAAAAATAGTAATATTCCTAGAATAATATTCCAGACTTTTGGGTAAAGTTTGGTAATTGATGGAGTTGAATAGATAGACGAACCAATACCCGCTTAAAGTTACTTAACCTATGTTAAGTGACTAAGACACCAAGAAGAGCCCCATTTCCCCCATTTTCCCGTCGAGCAAACAGAGGGAGGAAAGAAGAAGAAGAAAGGGAGAGAGAAGAAGAGAGAGAGGAGGGAGCAAATCCCAACCGTTTTGAGTGATTCAAAAGCCTAAACCACTCTAAATCTTCCCCTCTTTCATAATCCTAGCTTAGTTTTGAGTGGGGAGCATTGTGGAGAGAGATATTGCCTCTCAAAAATTCGGCCCTTTGTGAGATTTTGGGGTTTTGGGAATTTCTACCTCCATGGGAGCTTGAGGAACGCTCCTTGCTTGGTTGGGCAACCATTGGTGGTAAGATTCTACCCCTTGAACCTCATAATTCCTTGAAATTGCATGAGTTAGGGTTTATGAATAGTGTTTTAGGGTTTTTGATGAAATGTTGTTAAATTAGCTATGTTCTAGGAAGAATGGAGCTTAGAGCATGTTGTGAAAAATGCTAGGAACGACATTTAATCGGTGAATATGAGCTTAGATAGCTAAATGAGTATATTTGAAAAATGGCAAGAATATGATGCTTGATATTGGACTTGCTTGCAATTGTACTCAATGGTTTGGTTGGTTGTTGATTATGCCTTGGTGTTGTCTAGGATTGAGGCAATTGGACCAACCTCGAGAGACCAACCATTGGAGCATGCTATGGAGCTTGATTAGCTTCATTGGATAGGTAAGTTCATGCTTATGTTTGGTATGAATTGTATAGCTTGGTTGATAGCTATGAGATGTTATTGGATGCAATATGTGTTAATTGCATTAAACCTTGTGTAGGTTTTGTTTGAGAAGTGGAGTATTGTAATTGACTGACTGTAGAATCCGTGGGTGGTGAACAAAGGTCGAATTGAAGCTTGAGGTAAGCCTTCGGACCTTGGGTGTAATTCCCTTGACTGTTCCACCAAGCCCTGAAAGGGTAGAGGTTGTGATTGTGTATATAAATGCAATAAAATAGTGTAATGCTTTGTTATACGTATGTGTATGCATTTGGTGTGGCATAGGATGGTGTTTCCCTATGTTGGTATGTTGCATGACGATGCGTAAATCATACTTGGTAGTTAGCTGGCCAGTGGGACTATTTGCATCTGAGTTTCCTTAGGACAGCTTGAGAGCTCGAGGGATTTCTCCTGGAGATGTTATTGCTCTTTGCATAGATATGTATTTACTGCATTATTATTTTGTTATTGCTATTACACTGATATGGAAGTGTGGGGTGGAGAGATGCTCCAAGGACCCCTGGTTTACTAGATATATTCGTATATCTCACCCCGTGTTGTGGGGACCCCCTTTCAGGTAAGGATGTTGCAGGAGCCTCTGGTGGCAAGTGGCCATATCTGGATTAGCATATGCATGAAGTGTTGCATTTTTTTGAGATTATACATGTTGTTTTGTAGCTCACATGTATAGAATTGTAATTATAGGCAATGATAGATTTATGATTTGTATATTGGAATGGACTTGGCCTATGCTCATGCCTTTGGTCATCTCTTTTGTTGATGGGAGCCAAGGGAATGATCATACTGTTTTGTAAGCTAAGTTCCATGATTTGTAATGAATATGTACTGTAAATGATGCCTACTTGAAATTCAATATATGCATGTTTTTTATGTAGAGTTATTGAATTGGTTGGGCTGAGAATCAATTCGGTACCTTTTGTTTAAATTGGGAAACGTTGAGAAAACAAAGGTTATGCTGCCCAAATTCTAGCTAAATCTCATGAGGAGAGGTTGGATAAGTGTTAGGATTAAGTGTTGAGGCATGAACAATTGGGGTTTGGAATGGGGGTGCATCTTCCCCTAGTCTTGGACTTGAAAAATGGGAGATTGTGAAATTTCCTGGAAGCGCGCTAAAGAGCCCTGGAGCGCGCTTTAGCGCCCTGCTGCCCCTGTGAGAGCCAATGCTCTCTGTCTCCTCGCGCTGGAGCGCCCAAAGGGGGGCTTAAGCGCCCAGGATTGCGCGTTTGAGCGCCCTGGTTTGCCCTCAAGCGCCCTTCGCTGCAGAAAGATGGGAGGCTTACTGTCTCCGCGGGTTTTAGCGCCCAGAGTGGGGCTTAAGCGCCCAGGGTTGCGCGCTTGAGCGCCCTGGTTCGCGCTTGAGCGCCCTTAGCTACTGAAGGAGGAGATGCTTCTGTCTCTGCGCGCTAAAACGTCCCAATGGGAGCTTAAGCGCCCAGGATACCGCGCTTGAGCGTCCTGGTGCGCGCTTAAGCGCCCATTTACACAGAAAGACCTGATGCTCTCTGTCTCCGTGCGCTTAAGCGCCCAGATGGAGGCTTTAGTGCCCGATAACGCGCGCTTGAGCGCCCTGTAGCGCGCTGAACCGCGCGGGGCCTGTGACCAAAACACACTTTTGTTGCTCTAATTTGTCATAACGCGAGCTACAGTGCTCCAAATGAGACGCGGTTCGAAGCCACGCGTAGCTAATGATTAGAAGAATACAATTAATAACCTTTGGTCTAAGGATATATGAGTATGATGTTAAGCTTAATACATTTTATTCCGCAATGTATTACGGTTATGATCACGCACTTGGTTATCTTAAGTTCGGCATGTTTTAAAGAGAAAAATTTAACCGGATTTTAATTGAACCATATGATTGTAACTGCGCTTAATATCATAATGCGATGTTAACAAACCGGTTCTAGAACGGGGTGTTACAAAAGGGACTTCCTTCAGACATATTTCAAGAGCTTACTAGGGGTGTGCATGACAACCATTCTATTCCCTAGTACTGTTTCTGAAAAGAAACAATTCTTTTCTATTTCTGTGCCTTGGAACAATTTCTGAGAAAAAAAAATGTGTTTGATAAAATGTTCTATTTTTATTCCGAAAATGAGAATTTTGTTTGATAACACAACAAATAATATAATAAAAATAATTCCTATTAAATATAAAAAAATTTGGATCATCACTTTCCTTTCCATATGGTGTGGTTTTGGTGGCGGCGGCGGTACAGTAGTGATGGTGGCAGTGACGTGGTGAAGATAGTGGTGGTGGTTGTGACGGCAATGGCTGCGACGATAGCGGGGTAATGGTGGCGGCGGCGGAGGTAGTGGTGGGGATGGTGGTGGTGGAGGTGACGGCAGTGGCTGCGACAATGGTGGTGGGTATGGTGGTTGGTGGTGACAACAATGGTAGCAGTGGCATAGTGGTCGTGGTGGTGACAGTGGTTGCGGCGGTGGCAGTGGTGGTAGTGACAGTAGTGGTGGTGGTAGTGGCGGGGGTGGTGTAATGGTGGCGATGGTGGTGGTGACGGTAATGACTGTGACGATGGCTGCGGCAATGGTAGTGGTGGTTGGTGACAGTTGTGGTGATGGTAGTGGTGGCGTCGTGGTAGTGGTAGTGGCGTGTGATGGCGATGGTGGCGATGACGGTGATAGTGGCGGTGATAGTGGCAGTGGCGGTGGCAGCGATGGTAGTTGTGGTGGTGGCAGTGACATGGTGAAGATAGTGGTGGTGGTTGTGACGACAGTGCCTGCGACGATGGCGGTGGTAATGGTGGTGGTGCCGGCGGCGGCAATAGTGGTGGGGATGGTGGTGGTGGAGGTGACGGCAGTGGCTGCGACAATGGTGGTGGGTATGGTGGTTGGTGGTGACAACAATGGTAGCAGTGGCATGGTGGTGGTGGTGGTGACCGTGGTTGCGGCGGTGACGGTGGTGGTAGGTGATAGTGGTGGTGGTGATGGTGGCAGTGGTGGTGGTGATGACGATGGCGTGGTGATGGTAGTGACGGGGGTTGTGTAATGGTGGCGGTGGTGGTGGTGGTGGTTACGGTAATGGCTGTGACGATGGTGGTGGTTGTTGGTGGCGGCGGCGGCGGTGACATTAGTGGCTGCGGAAATGGTAATGGTGGTTGGTGACAGTGGTGGTGATGGTAGTGGTGGCGATAGGGTGGAGGTAGTAGCGTGTGATGGCGATTGTGGCGATGACAGCTGTGCTTGCGATGATGGTGGTGGTGGTGGTGGATGGCGGTAGTGGTGATGGTGGTCGTGACAGTGACGGTGATAGTGGTAGTGACAGCGGTGGTAGTTGTGGTGGTGGTGACGATGGCATGGTGGTAGTGATGGGTGGAGGTGGTGGTAATGGTGGCAGTGGCATCGTGGTGGTGAGAGGTGGTGACGACGGCACTAGTGGTACGATGGCGGCGGCGACGATGGTGGTGGCAGTCGTGTCGGGATGGTGGTGGTGGTGGTGATGATGGTAAAGGAAGAGAGTGATTGAGAGAGATAAGTGTTTCTCATTTTGTGCCCGGGAACAAAAAAACAGAAATTTTCTGATTCTTTTTTCTGATCCCCAGTACAAAAAATAAACCGGTTCATCCCGGGAACAAAAAAATAAACCGATTTTACCAAACGAGTTTCCTATCTATATCTGTTCCCGGGAACAGAAATTAAGAAAGAATTGATTCCGAGAAAGTTGTCATGCACACCCTAGCAAGCTGGGAATAATAAATATCTATTCGTCATTGTTGTATTCCCATTAGGTCATGTAATCTCTTTAAATAGATAACCCTTTGTACAGTTTACATACAATTCAATAATATATTTCATTACCCTTTTTCAAAGTATTATCAATAGGGAATCACACTCAAAAGTGGGTCTAGAGGACATGAGTGGAAAATTGATGGTGTTTAGGTGACAAACTGGGTGCCAATCTAGACGAGGGGCAGAAGGACAGACACTATTTTAGGATTCTGACAGGAACTGTTTTAAGGTTTAGATGTTACGCCAAAACGAATCATCTCGCGTATCATGTAGAAGAGGGATTTAGGCATTGCTTGAGGGAATCCTCAGCAAAACATTATATTTATACATGATTGACAATCTCTAATATTAAGAAAATAAGGAAACTAGGAATTTGGGAAATTGAAAATAAAAATAAAAATTATACAAATCAAATCCTAATTATTTATCCCTAAAAAGGAGATATATTCGTAAAAATTAGATTTATTCATAAATAGGAGATACTTTCCAACAAAATATAATATAGTCATTTTAAGGTATACCAACAAACCTCAAGTTCCTCTAACAAACAACGTGCTGCTTCTCCTTTTGCTCTTTTTCTGCTTCTTTCACTCCCTTTACCTATCAATAGGAAATCTTCCAGCTGCAATCCAAGTTCAACATGATGCATTTCTCCCTCTTTTGTGGATTTCTCTTTTATAAAGTAGCCAAGACAATCACACAATTCATTTAGTTTACGAATGGAGGGAAGTTCAAGATTATCAGGGGTCACAATTGGAGACAATAATGGTTCAAAGGTTCTCCACACTTCCTCAATATCAAGCTCGGTATCAATAAGCATAGCCCCTGCAATGCTTTCTACCATGTCCCCAAGAGCCTGAGCAAGAAAATGGATGATAAGAATTTTATAATCAGGTAATAGTACCACAGTATACTAACTTAAACTATGTGGTTGTATAGCTAGCACAAGTGTAAGCTGTTTTCTGTGTAGTAAACAAATATATTATTATAAGAGGGTGTTCCTAGAATACATCCACAAATTTTATATTTACTTGTTTGTGTCAGTAGAAGCAGCAATTTAATTGAGAATTAACCTTTGGAGCTTTTATTCTTAATTTGGAGCTGTTTTCAGTTTCAATCATTGAACTCATGAACTCTGTTACTTGACTTTGAAGAAACCCAGAGCAGTGCTGAAGATGTGGCTGAAGATTCCTTCTTACACAACATTGTGCGAAGTTTTCATTGCTAACAGCATCCGAACGCAGATCAGACAACCTGCCAGGATCAATATCGGGGTAGCTCCGATAAAGATGCCGTGTAATTAGCAGGCCTAACACTGAATCGCCTAGAAATTCAAGCCTCTGTCCATCAATTTGCAAGGCAAGGCCAAAAGGAGGAAAATATTAGTTGGAATCTGGAAGGTCTTATTGGACATATACCATTATTTTATTTTATATTAGAATCATTGGGACAGATAGACAAGCAAAACCAAAATTTTACCGCACATTCTCAATTACTTTTAGCAGTAATCTTTCTTATTTGATGGATGGCTAAAACATGTTGAAAAATAAGGGGGAGAGAGGGACGGCGGATAATATTTGATTATGTCAATTATATATATAATCTTCATGAAATTTTTGAAACAGATACCTGGTAACAATAACAAATTCCCACTTCCAATTCTTGCTGAGATGGATGTGTTATGGCCTCCTGTAACAGGCCCTTAGTAGAAAATTCATACCCAAGCTTTAATTCTAAGGCTTTAACATCATCAGCTTTTGGGACAAAGGACCTTATTGATGCCCTGGTGATGGCTTTATGTACCAATTGGGGATCAAGCCCAACATCAATACCCAGCCACTGCATTACATGAAGTGCAGCAGTATGCCCACCCCGTACATAATAAACTCCTATGAGGGCCTCAACACAATCAGCTATGGTTTTTGAACACATCCATCTATGGCCTCTGTCACAGCACTTTCCAACCTTAACTGTTGGCTCATCAGTTTGGAATCTTTTATCCAAAGGCACTTGAAATGTATCCACATCACATCCACAAGGAACAGGGTGTATACAATGCTGCCCTGGAGCTACCCAACGACGTGGTTCAAATGCACTGTCACGTATATATCCCTGTTAAAACATTGTAACTCAACTCAAAAATCAATTAAAACCTTCAATAGTTAAACACATTTGGATGAATTTGTGCGGCATGGCAAAGGCTTGTGCACTACCCGTGCTTATTTACAAAAAAAAAACTATTCTCTGAATTCGAATCTGTGACCTTTCAGTCACAAAAGAGCATTTTCACCACTGCTCTAGGTTCACCCTTTTATTGTATAAACAGCAGTACTGAATAACTGGAATGAAAAGAACAGATTTGGGATATATTTTCTTCTACGTGCACCACAAGTGTCCCGTTATATAAATAAAAATAAAATCATGAAAATGATGACTTGAATTTAATAATATGGAATTGTAATATTGAATTGTATAAAATCTGTACAAGAGCTCTCTATATAAAGAGTACTGAAAAATCTAATGGGCTAAGCCCAAAATACACTTCTAGAGTATTCTAGCTATTACAAATAAATAGATAAAATACTAATTCTAATATTTACAACACTCCCCCTCAAGCTGAGGAATAGATATTAATCATTCCTAGTTTGCTAGTAAGCACTTGAAACCTAACTTAAAGATTTTATATATCTCAACACCCCCCTTCACATGAGAGCCCATCGGGCTTGAAGAGTGGACAATGCACAGGCTCACCTACCTGTGCGAACAAAGAAATTCCACTTGAAAGAAAGTGGGCGGCGGCGAGGATCGAACCCGGTACACCAAGGCTCTGATACCATGTAAAGAACCAATTCAACCCAAAAGCTTAAGCTGTTGGTTGAGGTTTTTTAATGGTTTTATATATCTGTTGTAAATATTAGTTATTTACTTAATTATTATTATTTGTTGTATTGGGCCAAGCCCATTAGGTCAAGAATTAGGTCTTTTATTCTCTATAAATAGAGACCTCTTTGTACAGAATATTTACACAATTAATAATATCAGTATACCCTTTTTCAAGTTGGTATCAGAGCTCTCGATCTGAGGGCTCTGCTTCCGCGCTTATTTGCCTTTACAGCAAAAACCATGATCTATTTGCCTCTTGCAGCCATCAGCCGCCACTGGAAAAAATTTTCCGGGGACCTTTTGGACTAAGAGGACTACTGTTCACTGTTATTTTCTTCGATTACAAGCCGTAAACATCGATTACACACTGTTGTTTTCAGCCGCAAACACCTCCAAACAGATCTGTCATCGCGTCTGACCTCTTTCCAGTGACTTTTTCAACCGCGACCACCCACAGACAGGTGCGCGCTCGCCGGACGACCACAGTGCAAAATGTTCAGCCGGAGAAGACAGCCCACGCGCTCTCACGCGCCACTCAAACTCCAGCGCGTGAAGCCCACGCGCAGCCACTTCCACCGGCGCATGGAGGCGCGTGCAGCCTTATTTTGGTCGGGACCACTGCCGTTCTGATCGTCTCTTCATCCTCTTTCTGGATCTGTGCTTTCCCCTGTGTTCGGACGTCGTTTGGTATTTTTTCCGTATTTTTTGGCTTCTTGGTGCTATTCTTTGACTAGTTTTTTGCAGTATGGCCTCCGACACTGAATCAACCCTTGCAAACACAACTACAAATTCTTCTACACAGTCTGTGGTGACCCCTCTTGGTCACAATGATCTTCCTGCTCTTCATCAGAATTATCGTCTGAATGGAAAGAATTATTTACAATGGTCCCAGGTTGTTCGTACCAGTCTCAAAGGACGCCGTAAAGTTGCTCATATTGAAGGACCTGTTCCTGCCAAAATAGTTCCAACATTTGCTGATTCGGATGATGAAGACTCACTTATTATGACGTGGCTATGGAACTCATGACTCCTGAGGTTAGTCAACATTGCATGTTTTTACCTACTGCTCTTGAGATCTGGAACATTCTTAAGCAGACCTGTTCAATGAAGCAAGATGCTGCCACTTGTTATGATCTGAGGAATCGGATTTTTTCTACCAAGCAAGGCTCTCTCTCTATAACAGAATATTATGGTATTATGAATAAGTTATGGACTGAGCTTGATCAGTACAAGAATTTGAAGATGGAATGTAGCAAGGATGCAGCCACTCTGACCACCTCCATTGAACGCCATAGGATCTATGATTTTCTTTGTGGTCTCAACTCAGAATATGACCCTATTCGAGTTCAAATTCTTGGTAAGAAAAAATTACCGTCTTTTTCTGAAGTTTTTCACATTGTCAGGGGTGAAGAAAGTCGCAGGGCTATCATGATGGATACCAAAATGTCCGAAGGGTCTATTATGCTCTCATCTAAAGTTACTACTCTAACTCCTTCTGATTCTAAACCCACTGATGGGTCTGCTATGATTTCAACAAAAAGGGATGGTTCTTCTCAAAGAAATTCCTTTACAAAATTTTTTGATGGTGCATCTTCTAGACCTAAGAAAGATGATTGTTGGTGTTCTTATTGTAAAAGAACGGGTCATATCAAGGATCTATGCTTTCGCCTCTATGGAAAGCAAACGGTCTTAGAAAAGATGGCAAGGATGCGTGTTCAAGCGCATTTTACTTCCTCTGAAATAGCTCCTGCACCTAATGAGACCCAACCTGCATTCCGTCAAGATGAGTTAGAACGGCTCCGAACCATCCTTGACTCTCTGAGTAAGCCATCTGATACTAATGCTTTGGCTATGACTGGTATGAGCTCCAAAACTTATTCTTTTCTTTCTTCTTGTACTGATTTTAAACATTCTTGGATTGTTGATTCTGGTGCTACTGATCATATGGCTTGTTGTGCTGACCCATTTACTTCTTATCATCCTACCATTGGAACTCATACAATAGCCGTAGCTGATGGCTCACATACATTAGTTGCGGGTTCTGGTAACATAAACTTACAGCAGTTCTTACATATTAAAGATGTTCTTCATGTTCCTAAACTCTCCACAAATCTTCTTTCTATTCATAAAATTACAAAATATTTGAATTGTGTTGTAACCTTCTTCCCTACTCATTGTGTTTTTCAGGATCTCGCCATGGGGAAGACGATTGGTAGTGCTAAAGAGCAAGGTGGGCTGTACTATCTGGTGTCACAATCTCCCGCCAATAAAGTAACGGATCACATCTTGTTGTCTCATGGTCAATCAACTGCTGATTCTTTGATTTGGCTTCATCATAAGCGCTTGGGACATCCTCCATTTAGTTTACTCAAGTCTTTATTTCCGTCATTGTTTTTGTCTAAGTCTGTTGAGTCTTTTCATTGTGATGTTTGTGAGTTTGCTAAGCATCATCGTGTTTCTTTTCCTTCTAGTATTACTAAAAGTGTTGAACCTTTTGATCTTATTCATTCTGATGTTTGGGGTCCTTCTAAGATCTCTCATTCTTCTGGAAATAAATGGTTTGTTTCTTTTATTGATGATTGCACTCGTGTAACTTGGGTTTACTTAATGTGTGAAAAGTCTGAGGTACCACAACTATTTTTTCAATTTTATAAAATGGTTGAGACCCAATTTGGTAAGAAAACCAAGCGACTTGTAACATCCCGAGCGCTGACGAGGGCGGGGAGTGATCGCCGGTGCAAAGAGGCACGGACAAGGAGCGTCTCCTGACAGGCTTCCAGCTGGGGGTTACATGCATGAATGAATCGAATCGATATCCGAAAGAGATGGATTCCAAAGGCTGTGCAGGTATAAGACTGCACAGATTGGGATAGCTTATAAGAATTAATTGGTACTACCTATGCTAACAAGATGCATCTTCTTTTCGGTAGCCCGGAACGGAAGAACTCCACAGTTAAGCGTGCTTGACTTGGAGCAATTCAGGGATGAGTGACCTCCTGGGAAGTTTTCTCAGGAAGTGTGCGAGTGAGGAAAAAGCACATTGAAAAGTCTCGTGTTAGTATGTGGGGATAGTCATTGATTCTTGAAGTGGCAGAGCGTTACAAGTGGAATCAGAGCAAGGCCTCTCATCCAGTACGGTGTGGTTCGAGGACGAACCAGGCGGAAGCTGGTGGGCATGTAACATCCCGAGCGCTGACGAGGGCAGGGAGTGATCGCCGGTGCAAAGAGGCACGGACAAGGAGCGGCTCCTGACAGGCTTCCAGCGGGGGGTTACATGCATGAATGAATCGAATCGACACCCGAAAGAGATGGATTCCAAAGGCTGTGCAGGTATAAGACTGCACAGTTTGAGATAGCTTATAAGAATTAATTGGTACTACCTATGCTAACAAGAAGCATCTTCTTTTCGGTAGCCCAGAACGGAAAAACTCCACAGTTAAGCGTGCTTGACTTGGAGCAATTCTGGGATGGGTAGCCTTCTGGGAAGTTTTCCCGGGAAGTGTGCAAGTGAGGAAAAAGCACACTGAAAAGTATCGTTGTTAGTATGTGGGGATAGTCATTGATTCTTGAAGCGGCCGGACATTACATTTTGTAGACTGTTATTTCCATTTTCTTGCCATTTGTGAAGATCTAGTGTATTTCATACTGATTCTGTTTGAAGTCAATAGAAATTGATATCAGTTGCAGTATTTGAATTCCTTATTTCTTCTCTTATCTACCTGATACCTAACAGAATAAAAGAGGGGGGGGGGGGGGGAAATGTGTGTGAAGGAGCATATGTACAAGGTTGATATTTGTTTTTTTCATATAAAAGAATGAATCAGATTATATACAATAGGTCAGGTGACTTGTTAAGTGATTATGATGTCTATTCTTTCTCTTTGCTACCCGATTCTATTAAGGAGTATCAGGACATGAACTCTGATGGAGGATGCCTTGATGAGACAAGTATTCATCAAGGATAGAATTGAAATACTCTTTACCATTGTCTGTCCAAAGAATTTTTATGGAGGTGCCTAATTGGTTTTGAACCATAGCATGAAATTTTTTGAAAACGTGGACAATATCAGACTTGTAGAGTGACTGGTCCCCTTACTTTGTTGTTGGCGCTTTGTAGGAAGAGAGGACAACTTTAACAATGGCTGGACTTTGAGTTTTCCGGTGATGTGCTACCGGTTTGATGGTGGTTATGGTGGCTGAGCTTTCTCACTGATACAATGTATCAATTCAGAAAAAACCATTTTTTCATATTTCAACACATGGAAATTTCAAAATGGTAATTTAATTAAAGGATGCAGGCCAAAATAAAACTTTTCTGTCAAAGGACATAATCCTGATATATAGGTATACACATGGACATGGTATGTGACACATGCAAAAACCAATATTTCAAATCCATAGTTCTTATGTCAAGTGGAACTGCAATAAGCTCTGAGGATATATCACCTCAAAATGCATTGATGACAAAAATGGAGGACATCCAAAACAATTCGACTCAGTCATGGCATAGATGTCAAGTACCTGTAATTTGCGATCTGTTCCAAATCTATGCAGCGCTGAATTGGAAGTAAGACATGAACGCCATTCAGATAATTGCCCTTCATGTTTCTCGGGATATCTAAGGAAAAGGTGGCAGCTCACTGCATACTTCAGAACAGAATCTCCAAGCAATTCCAAACGCTCCATTGAGAAGCTTTCAGAACATTTCATTGTTGTAAGTGCTTCAAGAATCTAATCATATAATATTGAGGTTAGATTGATTTCGTAATATGATAAAAATTCATTATGAGTAATGAAAATAAAGAGTTCATTTCAACCCAATAATTAAACACACCAATGAACTTGGTATCTGAAAGCTGCAAGTGTTAAAATCAATCTCCTTTCTTAGCTGGCTTGCTAACATCAAGGATTCTAAGTGGTACATTAATGATGGCAGTAAGTAAAATGACTTCAGAACTTCTATTGGGACATCAATCCTTACTAAAACCTCAGGTGGCATATAAACATGAACTTGTGCTTTTTCCTGAACTGGGGCTGCACACTCAAAAACAAAAGCATTGAAAAATCTAAATCTGGCAAAGAATTTAGGATTTAATTCAATACTGAAACATTTGCATAAAGTTTCTTATGCCTTAAGATATTCATATGGATTGTCAATCATTCATAGTCAAGACTCTTGTGTCAGATTAACGTCATCATCATGAATCACATTTTAACTTGATATAATGCCTTCTAACTCAAACAAATTTTGAAATACTTCAGTGGAAATAAATTACCTAAAAATTTAAAATGGAAAGAGAAAAAAAATGAAAATATGCTTTGTCAAATTTGATGTGGAATATGATATTGATTGATGGCTATACATTGTTTTCCATATACACAAAATAAAAAATATTTTATCAACTTTATGAAATTGGTTTTTATTCTATTAATCTGTATCATATTCGACAAATATTTATAGGGAAGAATAGAAGATTATTAAAAAATATGAATATGACAAACCGTCTCCAGTGAATTTTACTAGAAGATTATGTGGTTTATGACTTTGTTTTAACCGTAGCAAAGGCTGTCCTGGATACATCAGCACAATCCCATACCTGAATTGCAAGCATGTTACTAGCAAACTGAACTAGCAAATGCAGAGCAAAACTATGTGAGAGCTATATATAAACCACAATATTGGGTCAGAAAATACCAACTTTTTGTTGAAGTATTCAATGTAGGTACGATAATCTGATGATACGGACACATCGGCCCCATTGTAGCTGAAAGGACACTCTGCAGAGGTATCCGTTACAACCTCAACAACAGAGTACAACCTTCCAGTGTGAATAGCCAACACCACAACATCTTTGATATCATTTACGTCAAGCAAACAATTAGCACAGTGGACTGTACTTGAGGTCTTCTGTTCTACATCAGATGAGTCACTCCAATTTGATAACTTTTGTTTGTAACAATTCTCAGAACTCAATGTGAATTTTCCTTTCAAAAACTTTACCACTGGCACACAAGAGCTCACTCCTCTCCAGTTTACTCTCCAGGCTTCATCTTTACTATTCAATTCCTCGAGTGGCAAAAGAAAATACATTTTCAATGGGCTCCATAGCTCACTTGTTTGATGCTGAAGTAAAAATTCTCTTTTTGTTCCAGCTTCTTCTGACCCAACAAAGAGTCTTCCAAATAAACCATTAAAGAAAAATTCCTGAAAGCACTTAGCTTGCATCATCTGATAAGAAAAATGTACACAATGAAGACTGCATAAGGAGTGATTCCCAGGAGATAAATTACAACCAAATTCAGAAACTCTCAGTATACCTGTTCTGAATCCAAATACAGTTTCCCACATGAAGAAACACAAGACTTAACTGTCTTTGAGATCAAGTAAAGATCTGCCTCAGTATTTCCTACATCATCATCAACTTTTGATCCAATCAGAAGAACAAATCCAGAATAAATCTCCTCAGGGATGTTACAACAGAAATCGAATTTATAGGCATGAAAAGTGGCCCCGTTTTGACTTGGGCTCCAAGTTCCAGATAATGCATGAATGCAGACTGTCCCATGTAATTCCTTTCTTTTGGTTGTTCCTGCAGTAAACAAAAAGGTGATTCAAATAAAGCAATTAATTATATGAATGATTCAAGGTGAAACTACTAAAAAGTTACTATTAACTAATTTGATAGCATTGATAACTGAATATAAAACACAGGAAAATGGGAAGAACTCTTGCAATATGGTAGAACATTTATCAACTAAAATGCTGCCAAACAGAGCAAGAAGTTATCAACTAAGTACACAAAATAGTTTGGCCTTGAGATGATTATTTCTGGCTCCATGAAAAGCTTCATAGTAAAGCTCAATAATGCATGCTATTAACTTGTAGCTATTCAAATACTAAGGACTTGAATCTTCTATGCAATTTATCAAGATAAAAAGGAGACTTAAATATTTAGGAGATGATGGGAAAGACACTTAAATCACAAAGCTTTTGATTTGTTTATCCCATTACACCAGCACTAGAACTTTATTTATACAGGGTCTTGACCAGAAAATGACACTTATATCCTTTACATGGGAAGCACAGTCTATAAGAAATCCTTGTAATATTTTCCTAAATACTTATACTCTATAACAATATTATTATCTCAATGAAATTACTCAAGACTCCAAGTATCAAACCAAACTATTTGATAAATGGTTTCTCTGTAAAAGGACAGTCATCAAACATTGAAGCCATACGAAAAGGAATTCGAGAAATAGAATGCTATTTCCATCTTGTCTCTATACTAAAATTTGATTGAAATAAATGTAACTAGTAAGTTATCAAAACGAACTGTATTTGCTAACATCAATCATTTAAAAATTTTACATTGCTATGCGTAAATTTGTGTACATTAATACCTTCACCGGATGGTGACTTTTTCCAATTCAAGCTCATATTACTTTCTAATGGCTCTTCTGAAAAGGGCAGAAGATGATCATTAAGAGCACCCATCTGATGCAACTTCTTACATGCCTCCAAGCATACAAGCTGCTTTGACAAATGAGAATTTCTACTCACAGGACCAATTAATGTTTGAAAAGCTGCAGCTGGAGGCAAAGTTAATTTACATTCATAATGCCCACCAGAATTTGAGAGATGGAATATTGGCTTGGGAAAATAGTACCTAGTTCAATTGGACAGAAAATAAAATAAATTATCATAATCAGAAAACGCTGAACATCAAAAGTAACACATATTATGTCACTAAAAAGGTTCAAGTATTCGTACTTATCATGAGGCAGCGTTTCACAGTATCTATGGATGAGACTGACACTAGAATCTGCAGTAACACATGCGCCAGTAGCATCAACATAATATGCATGTATCTCCTCAGTCTTATAATATGCCAAAGTAAATGCCTCATGTTCTCTGTTTTTCGCTGTATTTGTCATTGAATATTCACTCCTAATAATTTCAAACAATTGATCCCTTTGCTTCACATTTTCCCTGTAGAGCTTCAAAATTTAGAAACTTTACTTTTTTTCATAAAAAAATAGATTTATTGAGACTGTTAGACATAGTATTGTATTTTATTATTATTGTTTTATTATTCTAGAAGGTTATTTGGGCTTAACCCATTAGATCATTTAACCTCTTTAAATAGAGGACTCTTGTACAGTTTTACATACAATTGAATACAATACATTCATACTTTCAAGTTGGTGCCAGAGCTTGTGTTCTGGGAAACCTTGCTTCCGTAGAAAAACCTTATCTTGTTGTGCATCATACCGGCAACCCTCTTTTCACACCTAACCCTTTAGTTAGTCATCAATTGCTTGTCCTCAATCTCGGATAGTCAGAAAAACCATCGTCAACCTCCGGTCATTGCCAGAAACCACCATCCGCCACTGTTCACCACCGCCGGAGCATTTTTCAGGTGAGTATTCCGGCCAACAACCACGCGACCAGGAGAGGCTCAAGGAGGCGACCTCGTCTGTGCAAGTCGCGTGGTCATTGAAGCAGCCACGCGCCGCCATGTGCCGGTGGAAGCATTTGGCGGCTGAGCCACTTTTTCGGCGCGTGAGCCACCATCCAACCACCGTTCTGGGCCGGACCACCACCGTCTTGCTAGCCTTCTCATCCTCTTTCCAGATCTGGTCTCCGTTCATTGCGGGCCACATCCGTTAGGAAGATATCAGCAAAAAACTGGCTGTTTGGACATCTTTTTGCAACATTTTTGCGTGATTTCTTGCTTCCTTGCAGTTCGTTGCTATTTTTTGGTCATCTCTTTTATTTTTGTGATGGAGAGCTCAAGTAATGTGCACAAAAACACTACCGGCATCATCTCCAGTACTACCCTATCCATTACAACGATGAAACTGACCAGATCTGTTACTTACAAGACTTGGTCTACCTCCGTTAAGATCTGGTTTACTGGTCAGGGACACGGTAAACATCTCACAACCAAATATGCTGAAATTCCAAAGGATCTGATTTATATATAGGAAAAGATTGATGCTCAACTGCTGAGTATCCTTTGGCAATCCATTGATCCGGCAGTTATAGACATTGTCATCCCCTTTGAGACCTACTATGACGAATGGGAGGAAGCCAAAAACCTCTACACCAATGATATTCAACAGCTTTATTCCATTGTTTCTTAGATAATGGAATTGCGCAAATCACCAGAGGCTCGAATGGAGACTTATATTGGTAAGATTTGTTCTTTGTTTTAGGAATTCTTAGCTATGTTACCTCATGCTGCAGATGCCTCTGCATACAAGACGCAGGTGGAGCGCTTCTTTACGGTCGTAACCCTTTCCGACCTTTCATAGGAGTTAGAAAGTGTTTGTGAGAATATTCTAACCAGTGCTGAGACTCCTAGCCTGTCACAGTGTGATAGTTCAACTTTCCAACTAGTTTGCGGTAACGACCAGAGTCTGCCAATGGCTCCCCCTGTCCGGGTAATAGCATAACATTGGAATCCAAAGGTGTATCAATGGGTTTACATCAACATACCATTCTCATCTAGAATATCTAGTGCATACTTCCTCTGATAAATGAAAATGCCCTGCCTAGACTGTGCCACTTCAATTCCTAAGAAATATCGAAGTCTGCCAAGATCTTTGGTCTGCAACTGATTGAATAAGTACTTCTTTAATTGATCAATCTCGACTTGATCGCCGCTAGTAATAATGATGTCATCAATATAGACTAGGAGATAGATGCACTGGCCAGAAGAGTTATGTCATCAACCAACAACTGACTTCCTGGGAGGAGCAAGAACAAGATCCCATACACCATTGGAGTGAAGTGCTGCCAATTCATCAATCATCGCCTGGCGCCAACCCGGATGAGATAATGGTTCACATGTGGTCTTAGGAATGGAAACAGACGAAATACTACAAACAAAAGTAAAATGCTGTGAAGAAAGTTTATCATAACTCAAGAAACTGTAAAAAGGATGAGGGTTGTGAGTGGATCGAATACGTTTGCGAAGGGAAATTGGAGTAACCTCTGATGGAGGATCTGGAGGGGAAGAGTCGACAGGAGAAGGCAATGAGTCAGCAAGGGTTAAGTCTGCAGGAGGCGCAGTCTGACGATGCTGATAGGTGAGAAAAGTGCGGTCCTCAGGGATGGAGGCAAGGGGTTGCTCCTCTGGGATAGAGTCACCTGCAGCTGGTAAAGACAAGTCGAGAAAAGAAACAGGAAGAACCTGATTAACTTGTAATATCTGAGTTGGGATAAAATGAAAATGTTGTTGATCAAGAAAAGTGACATCAGCGGAAACAATATAACGCTTAAGGTCAGGAGAGTAGCAAAGATACCCTTTTTGAAAACGAGTATATCCAAAGAAAATTCATTTGAAGGCTTTGGATGTTAATTTGTCTTTTCTTGGAGTGAGATCATGAACAAAGCAAGTATATCCAAATACATATGGAGGTAGAGGATAAGAATGTGCTCCTGGAAATAATGCACTATGTGGAACTTCAATATTTAGCACATGAAAGGGCATGAGATTGATGAGGAAACAAGAGATGATAATAACATCTGCCCAAAAATGGAGTGGAACATTCATATGAATTAGAAGGGTACATGCAGTTTCAACCATATGTCTATTTTTACGTTCGGTCATTCCATTTTGTTGTGGAGTGTGCGGACAGGTAGTCTGGTGTAACGTTCCATGTTTCTCCAAAAAATTAGAAAATTCAAGAGACACATACTCTTTTGCATTATCACTGCACAATATTTGAATAGAAGCACTAAATTGAGTATTTATGTTAGCACAAAATTTTTGATAAATTGAAAATAATTCAGAACGATTTCTCATTAAATAAACCCAAGTACAACGAGAGAAATCATCAATAAAGGTTACAAAATACTGAAAACCCAAAACAAAGAAAGTTCGACTTAGATCCCAAATATCAGAATGAATAAATAGAAAACGAAGCATCAACTCTTTTATTAACTCTATTTGCAAAGGAAGAGCGAGTGTGCTTTCCTTACTGACAAGACTGACAGTTTAAAGACTTAAGACTGGACAAAAAAGGAATCATATGTTGAAGCTTGGAAAGACTTGGATGACCCAGACGGATGTGGATTAGTTCAGGAGACTCCGTGAGAGAGCACGCCATTGGAGAAGGTGGTGCAGTCAGATAGTAAAGACCTCGTGACTCATTGCCCGCTCCAATCATCTTCCCCGTACCCGGATCCTGCATAGAAAAAGAATGTTTAGAGAAGGTAACAGTGCATGAAAGAGAATGAATCATCTGGCTAACATAGATTAAACTGAAGGGAATGCCAGGTATATAATAAACAGATGTCAAAGTCAAAAAGGGAGTTGGGTTGGCTTGTCCAATTCCACAAGCAGGGGCCTTAGTGCCATTAGCAAAAGTAACATAAGGTAGATTACTATAATAAGAAAGTGAAGTAAATAGATCCTTATTACCACAAAGGAGATTAGTAGCACCTAAGTCTATGATCCAGGGTCCAAGAGATGATTGAGAAAAACAAGCAACATGATTACCAGTGTCTTGAGTGGAGAGGCTGGGAAGAAACCTTCTTGAGAAATGCCTTATAGTCGGCACTCGAAAAAGTTACTGATCCAGAAGAAGGTGGTGTAGCATCAGTATGAGCAAAGTTGGCAGTTGGTGGCTTTAAGAGAGGGTACTTCCTATAGCAACGTTCTTCAAAATGTCCAAGGTTCTGAAAAAATTGCAACGAGGCCTCTGTCCGCAGCCACCCTATCCACGACCACGTCCTTGACCGCGTCCACTGTTCCAATTGGAATCATTGCCACGAGAAACAAACGCAGTTGAATCGGTGGCTGGCACATGTATGAGTGCTACTAATTTATCCTTGAGATTCAGACCGAACATCTCTTTTTCAATTAGTGTGGCAAGTCAATCCCTTGACTCTCCTTGTGACTCTCATTGGGATGCAGTTATCAAGATTCTTCGATATATCAAAAGAGCAACAGGAAGAGGTTTATTATACACTAATAAAGGGAATGCAGAGGTGTCTAGCTATTCAGATGCTGACTGGGCAGGTTCTCCTTCAAATAGACAATCCACCTCGGATTATTATTATGTTCTCCTCGGAGGAAATTTGATCTCTTGGAAGAGTAAGAAGCAAACTGTAGTCGCCAGGTCAAGTACAGAGGCAGAATATCGGGCAATGAAAAATGCAACTCGTAAGCTCATCTGGCTAAAACAATTGCTTAAGGAATTACATCTTTGTGAACACGGATCATGAAACTCATTTGTGACAATCAAGCCGCATTGCACATATCCTCTAGTCTTTCATGAGAGGACCAAACATATAGAAATTGACTGTCACTTTGTTGGAGAGAAGATTTAGTCAGGAGAGATCGAGACAGCATTTGTCAATTCCAATGATAAACTTGCAGATGTTTTCACCGAGGCTCTTAGAGGTCCCCGAATAGATCATATATGTAACAAGCTGGGAGCTTATGATATATACGCACCAGGTTGAAGGGGAGTGTTAGAAATAGTATTGTATTTTATTATTATTATTTTATTATTCTAGAAGGTTATTTGGGCTTAACCCATTAGGTCATTTAACCTCTTTAAATAGAGGGCTTTTGTACAGTTTTACATACAATTGAATACAATATATTCATACTTTCAAGTGAGACAAAGAGAAAAAATCACAAAGAGAAAGAAGGATAAAGAATCATCCTAAACAAAAGAAGAAGAAAAACAGAAAACAACCGAGAAAATCAATGAAAAAAAATCTTCCCAATCCCTCAACATATGTATGAGTGATTAAAAAGGTCATGTGCTTTATGTTAAATAGACGCCAAATGCCTAATCTTAT